GAGAGAGAGAGAGAGAGAGAGAGAGAGAGAGAGAGAGAGAGAGAGAGAGAGGGGCATGAGCATGCCGCATTTTTCACGGTAAACAGTTTTTTAAATGATCGTATATGGTTTTAATGGACATTTAATTTTGATAAGACATTTCACGGCGCTCACAGCTTCAAAAGGTTATATGAGCGCGCGAAACGCAGGCTGGTTGTTTTCTCAACAGTTCACAGAACTGCATGATTTTGTTCAACGCTCATGTTAAAAAGCTAAACATTTCACGATATAAACTTAATATAATAAACAAAATCTCAAACAGTTGTAGGACTAGACGTCTTAAACTTGTCATGGTTGTTGTTCACTAATACCCAAAGATGGTAAGACCATTTTGTCTCCATTTTTGTAATAGATTACTTGGAAGAGATGTTGGAATATGCAAATTAGTCTCATATCGATGAACATCAAATTTCAAAATCTTCTCATCGCTTTAATCTTAACTGCAGCGATAACAAAGGCGTCACCAGTTTAAGAAAAGGCGTACTTTTGACAACTAAAACAAACGATTAAAAAAATTAGATTCTCAGAAGTACCTTTTGAAATTTCAGGATGATAAATTATATGAACAAAAACCCAAGATGGCGCCGTTGCCATGGCAACGCATCTTGGGGAATTTTTCACACTTACATTTTGTTCATAAATTAATTCCATCTAATGAACTATGATGTGAAAAACCTTAAAAATTCAATGTTAAACAAATTGGAAAAATCAGTAGCGAGTTCCCTTAACCGCTGCTCCAAAGACGTAAAGTAGACTAGAACCGTTAGAGTCACATGAGAGAATATGTCGATACATATACCGTGCTGGTAAACTAGGCCAGAACCGTTAGAGTCACCTGGGGCTATTTTAATACATGCACCGCATAGATAAGCTAGGCTAGAACCGCTGGAGTCACCTGAGAGATATGTTAATACAGTGCGAGTAAACTAGGCTAGAATTGTTCGAGTCACCTGTGGGTTAGGTTGATACCGTACAGGAAAAGTAGGCTGGGATAATTTGTAAGAGTGACCTGATCGAATATGTTAATATCGTGCAGGTAAAGTAGCCCAAAATTGTTTAAGTCACCTGTGAGAATATGTTGATACCGTGGAGGCTAACTAATATAGAACAGTTAAGAGCTACCCGTGCACTATGTTTAGATATTATACCATGCAGGTAAACTAGGCTAAAACCGTTTGAGTGACCTGAGAAAATATATTTATACCGTGCAGGTAAATTAGGCTGGAACCGTTCGAGCGACTTGAGAGAATACATTTATACCATGCAGGTAGATTAAGCTGGAACCGTTCGAGCGACTTGAGAAAATACATTTATACCGTGCAGATAAACTAGACTAGAACCGTTCGAGTGACCTGTGGGCTATGTTGATACCGTGCAGGTACGACACGGCGTCTGTGATCTGTCGGAACATGACCCTTGACCTGTCCTCGGGAATGGCTCCGCGAAGCTTGATGTACTCCAGGAGATCTCCGTGGCCGGCGTGCTCCATGACGATGTACACCTGGCTCCCCGGGCCGCAGATCGCCCAGGAAGGTGTTGGTCAAGTGGAGGAAGGGAAGGAGAACATGATTAATGGTCGCCTTTAAGCACAAGTGAACTCCCCCCCCCCCCCCAAATGCTGTTTTGGGAAAATCGAAGGTTAAGTTTTTGGACCCGTGTTCAGTTTCCTTAAAAGACAAGAGAAGTTTTTCTCTATAACCAAGCACATATACACACCAAAGAAACCAAACCTCTCCTATAGGTAGGGCACTGCCCACTTTTGGTGTAGGTCAAGATTTCTAGAAACCCCCGAAATCTCGGTAAGCCCGCTTGTCCTTAAAAGCGACCATTTGTACACTAGAGTTTGTTTAAAATGTAACCTTTATTTTAGTACAAGTTTTTCGGCACCTGCAACCCTATATGGTTATATATAAGGGCCGAAGATTAGAGGTGTAACCAAAGAGAAACATTCAAAGAAAAGGAGGAGGAGAGATAAGGATGATATTAGGTTAGATAGAAAAGAAGAAGCATACCATACCAGAGCACCCGCCAACCCCCCAGGGCGCATCTCAATTTACATCAGATGTTCGGTACAACAGACCACCTAGGTTAAGAAAACAAGTTCGAAAAAAGGAATCTATTAATTTGTTATCGATGTATTGATGTTTACGTTGACGCACGAGTACACTCAATGTCTGAAGGTGGGTGGCGTGAGGTCTAGTGTGCTTTGCTTCTTCTTTTCTATCGTGCACCTATTGTCCTTATTTCCCCTTCCTTTTTTTTCTTTGTATGTTATATTCTAGAAACACCCCTACTCGTCGGCATTTCCATTATTTTGAACTATTTGCTAGGGCTGGGCAATGAGTCGCTGTGGCAAAATCCGAATAATGTGTATGTGCACATCTTCGGTAAATAATACGTGTCACGGCGTGGTGGAATCAGGCGCTCGTCAATATTTTGGCATATGGGGTTGTTGGTATCATCTTAAAGGTTGTTCATTTGCCTTCCGTTTGGTGAAAAAAATATCCCTCTATGCCGAATAGAATTCGAAATATTTGCGATTGAAAAAAGTCAGGGTCGCTTGATTTCAGAGGTAAAATTAGCGAGAAAATGGACGCCAAATTCTGGTAACTTCTATAGCTTGAGAGTCCTTGAAAACTGAGAATTTACAAATTGTAAGCGATTATTCAATGTTTTTATTTAAAATGAACATAGAAATATGTTTTTGTATGTATATAAAAGGTGTTTAGACAAAAAAGAAAAATTCAATAAATATTGTCACACTGGACGAAAAATGCCTGTTTCTTCAATTTTATTATTTTGACAAGCGCCTGATATCACCACGATGCCTCACATATGTTATGAACCGATTCGGCAAATGGGTTAAAAACACTTCGATAAACGATAAAGTTAGCATCACTTCAACGAATGGGTGCACCCACTTCGGCAAACAGGCCAGGAAAGAGAGTTAAGAGTCTGAATTCGGATAATGTGCTTATTGAGGATTATCCGATTTTCCGGATATTTATCCGGATTTTGCCCACCTCTACTATTTGCGTTGTATGTACCATTACGCTACCCCAGGACTACAAAGTTGCTTGCTGTTGAGCCCCCCCCCCCCCGGGGGGCAGTACCACTGACTGTAGCGTCTTTAGGCCATTCCCAAAGGGGTAACATTTCTCGTTCAAGCATAGTATATTAGTTATTGTAAATTGGCTGACTCATGTCACGCTCATCACTGTGCCTGATCTACAACAGGGAACTGCTGCTTTTTCTTTCCTG